TTTTTTCAGTCACTTAACAACTGGGAATGCCAGTACTATGTGACCACTATGTCTGAATTGTGAATACTTTATGACAGCTGTCAAAAGTACCTTGAACAATTTACTTATCTTGGAGAAAAACTCAGTTTTTCTCTTAAAACTGAACACCATCCTTATTTCTATGACGAAAGCAAGAACACTCACCTCTTGGAGATATGACACGGGAATATCATCTGTGTTTGGTACTGTATAATTGAAAGTCTCTCTCAACAAACAAATGGGCCCATTCCATTTATCTAGTTCTCTACATGTCAATGTTAAGTTGTAATTTTTATTTTTGAATGAAGTTCGAATGTCTTCCAGTGCAATTCTTCTGTATCGTGTCTCCAAATAAGCAATTCCATGATTCCTTATCAACTCACTGCTGTTGCTGTTATTTTCCTCATAAAAATGCTTCCTTGGATCTGGAAACATTTCAATAAAATCTTCAATACTGAATTCCTCTTTATATTTCCTTTGTAAAGAAGCCATTTCTTGGCGTTTAAGAAATGCCTCTCGTGTTGGATATTCCTTGTTCTCAAGTGCTTCCAAAAGAAATACCTTAACAGATTCCTCATCATTCCCAATCTTTTCAAAAGTAGCATGAAGATAGTCTGGATCTGCATCTGGAAGCACGGCCAGCAGTGTCTGAAACTTAACACCATCTACCTCCTCCAACAGCTCTGCAACAAACACTTTCATGGCATCGTCATCATCTCCTATCCTTTCGGCAGCCTCACGTAAAAAAACAGGATCTGCCTCTGGGAACACAGCCAGAAGAGTGTGGTAACTGTCATCACCTTCATTCTTCTTCAGGTGTTCTACAACAAATTCCCTCATGGCAGTCTCATCATCACCAATCTCAGTGCATTTCTCATGAAGGTAAGTTGAATCAGCTTCAGGAAATATATCTTGTAGCATGTGATATTGTGTAGCAGTTTTATTTTGTAACTGTTCTTCAATAAAATCTTTCAAAGCATCTTCATCACTACCTATCACACTGCATTTTTCACGCAAGAATGCAGGGTCTGCCTGAGGGAACAATGATAACAGCATATGGTACTGATTATCATTTGAGGTCTCTTGGGTATGTTGAGCAATAAATTCCTTTACAGCATTGTAGTCTGTTCCTATCTCATTCCATATCTCCATCAGGATCTCGTGGTCAACATGTGGGAGAGAAGACTCAAATTCTTTGTACGTTATTTCCTTTTTACGACACCCTTGACTTGATGGGGCTGGTAATGATGCACTTACAGGCGTCTCAGCCTTCGACAGCATATCACCCACATCATTTTCTTCAGCTTCTAGAGATTCTAAAACCTTACTTGCCATATCTGTCAGTGAGTCAAACTGAAGACTGATTTTGATCAAATAATCCATTCTTGCATCTGGAAAGAGCTCATGTAACTTTGCTACAATGCTGTCATCTTCATGCTCTTCATCCAAGCTGTCCAGAAAGTTAATGAAATCATCAGAGCATGTGGAATCAAATGATGTACTACACTGATCCTCTGTTTCAGCTACTGCAGTTACATTATGTTCAACTTCTACATCAGTCACACTGCTAAGTTCATCCAACCGAGATCTATTTTCTAACATTTTTGATTCATCAGTGTCAGATTCTGGAAATATCATCTTAAAGTCTGTAATAATACTATCAATGTCTTCACCTGAATCAATCAATTTCACATCTGACTTCTGTACAACAACAAAGTCTACATTTTCATCAACTTCACGATTTGTAATAAGATTTGGACCATCTTGATGCATGAGAGTATGTTCGCTGTTATATTTGTCAGTCTCCTGTTTTAAAACTATCACATTCACGTCAAGATCCTTGCATGAGGCATATGAAAGTGTATCATCTTCGTCCGTGTCAGATGCTATTAAATCAAGTACATCATCGCCACATTTTGAAACTGCCAATTCTGTTATAACATCCCTAGATAGTGACCCCTGCTCACTTACTTTCTGTTCAACAGATAATGGTGTTATTTTAATACTTTCCTCAAGTTTTGTCTGTTCAACAAAGAATGGTGTGACTTCAAGACTTTTGTCACTTAGTTTCTGTCTGATACACACTGGCGCAACTTCTGCATTTATTTTCTGTTCAACAAATAATAGCATGTCACCAACACATTCTTCACTCTGCTTCTGTTCCAAACCTTCCTCACTTCTTTTCTGTTGAACAGATGATCCTGTGACTTCAACAGTTTTTTCAAACAGATCATCTTCATTATGTTGTGCTTCCATTTCAAGCTTTTCTGAGATAATTTTATGTGACTTTTCAATATAATTGCCAAAATGGAAAATATTACTGCTTTCAACACTTTCTAGACATCCTCCTTTATCTGTAACTTCAGAATTAGAAAAGTTCCCATGTGTAAGGTCAGCATCTTTTGATGTTCTCTGTGGAAACATGGCACTGGCAGTGACAGAATATTTGTTGGATTTTAGTTTCTCATGAACAGCAGTGGCCTTAGCGTGACACATACGATCATTATTTGAAGTAGCAGTGAAAACAAATACAGATGGCGCACAAATGGACAAAGGATTGGTCTGTACTGTATCTACAAGTCTGGTGTTTATTCCACCGATAACCGCTACTTCTGTACATGGCAATTGAGCTAATCCACGTTTAGTTTCCGTTTGTAAGAACATTTCTGTCACATCATCAACCCTTGTATCACTATCTTTGTTGGCTCTGAGACATGCATAAATCTGCTCAAAATCATGGTGAGGAAAAATGTTGTATATCAGCTTTGCTTCTTTGATTAGAGTATCAGCATCTGTGCTAGATTCTCTGCAACAACCATGATGAATATCTAAATCTATGGTTTCAGAATTCAGCTGGTTTTGATCATCTGTAAGAGCCTGAGAGATGGTCACTGGTTCAGGAAGACTTACAAAATTCTGACTGAGCTCATGAGGATGCACAGAAACACTTTCATCATATGCAGTAGCAATTACATTACTGAATGGTACATCATTCTGGCATGGCGTATCACATCCAGATATTTCCGAAACTGGTACTCTCTCCTGTGACCAGCCGGTATTCTCCACAAGATTATCTTCATTGCTCCGTAAGGTAAACCTAAACACACCTTCCTGTGGAGCAACATTTGGTTCATCAATAATACCAGACTTATAAATAAGCTGCGTTGCAACGTACTCAATTCGTACCTCTCTCTTAATGTACATCAACTCCTCAAGCTTCTCATAAATCTCATTGACATCAACTGTTTGTCCAATGTTATTGCACTGCAGTATTGTCTGTACTTCTGCTACATCTGCCATTAGATCATCAACAGTCACCTGTGACATCATCGGAATGTCAAAGTCTGCCATGTCTTCCATATTCAGATCCATCATCTCCTCCTTGGTGACACTTACCATTTCCTTTGTGTTTACCTCAGCCATACTTCATCCCCCAATAAACAGAGAAGTCTCTGAAACATACAAAACAATCAATCAGATTCATAAGAAATGTGTAAGTCAGTTTTCCAAATAAGATATTACAAAACTAGCAGAATGATTGAATTGAGCATCAATGCATTTACATGGAAGTAGCTTCAAACAGTTCTGGGACATAAGCAAATATAACAACATTGTGGCAGGTCGAGTAGAACCTACTCCGGCATATCAATAAACATATTTACTCACGAAGATGTCCGTCTTCTGGGTTATTGTGCTGTGTAGTCTGGTCGATGTTAACCAACGTTTCAGAGGTCATACTGCCTCCGTCATCAGGGCGATCGCCCTGATGACGGAGGCAGTATGACCTCTGAAACGTTGGTTAACATCGACCAGACTACACAGCACAATAACCCAGAAGACGGACATCTTCATACTCACCGCTGTGAAAACCTCAAGTCTTACATATTTACTCACATTTAACAAAACTGACCAGTTATCTGAATAGTGTGTTTAGTAGGCCCTAGAAGAGATAGGTCATGTTGAAGTGGGGAAATGCATCATCTCAGGCACAAGGCTAACATAAAATTCTGTCAGTGCATGGGAAAAATCAGCAATTAAAGTGCTTTGGATGGTATTTGGGGCTGAGTCACATCAGGAACTGAGGTCAATGTGGGACAGGTAAAGGAAAGTGTGTGCTCTGATTATTCTCAGACAATGGAGACTAATGCAAAGGAAAAGGTTTGGCTGGTGGCTGCAACACCATCCTTGGTAAAAATTTGAAGGTGCACTGTGCCTGCCAATACTTTTATTTTATTTGTGAAAATGTCCATGGCAGCACCAACATACTTTATTTCAAAACATCATACTACATATAACCAAAGAAGTAACAGAACACTTTACCGGCGGAAAATGTGAATTACACATTTACATTAATTACATTTAGATGAATACATTACATTTACATTAAGATGTCTACAAAACACCTTTAATTCCTTTAATGATTTTATCGTCTTTCCTCCGAAGAAGTACATGATTCAGTTTCATCACCCACATGTGGTCATTCTACCTAACACAACACAGTTTTTAATCGTTGTTGCTGTTGGGTAAACAGCAAAAGACTATAAATTCTTGTGGGAGTGACAGCAGTACTCATGCCTTTCCACAGTTGTGCACTGAATTGGCTGCCACCCACTATGGTGCAAACTTACTGAGTAAAAAAATCTGCCTCACTTCATACAGTTGTGTTATTTAACGATGTAATCTTTAACTTCTCTGGTTATATATTGTCAACTGACATCGAATTATGAAAACGAAAAAGTAGGTAAGAATATGTACCTTGATATTAACTGAAGAGTCCATCTGAACACGCCCCAAAAACCTGTTCAGTGTCACAGGCTGGATTGAATCACACTAATATCCTACTCAAATAATACCCTCGTGAGATATGTTCTTGAATTGGCAACATTCCATCGCGGGCCGGTAATTTCGTCTCAAGTCCGTAGTTTCAGCACCCATGATCCGTTACTGCAGAATTTTTAATTTACTCAACTGCTACTAACTACCGATCAAAAACTAACTTTAAAAAATCCGCCGGCAGACGACAGGAAAAAAAAACCCTCATGAACCCAACGGAAATATACATATCACCGAGAACTTACACAAACTTAAAACAGTCTCCATAATAAATCGCAGTATAACGACTCCACCAAGACCAACACAATGGTTATCATCCCAGCTGAAACACAGTAGCCGGATGTAGTAGTGAATCAGACACCAACAGACCGCAACCGGTGTACCGTCACAAGGTTTCGGATTTGACGCGAATTTTTGTAAGATATTGTATATTAGCACATTTTAGTTGGAAAAGACAATATCTCATATTACGTAAATATAATTCGTAATGTACGCACACATTCGTTCATAATTCTACGTCCCTGATACTAGGAACAAAAGCAAATTTAAAATAAAACTCACTTCCCTAACGCCCCCGACTAAATTAGGGCCACTTCCAACATGGCTCAAAGGCAAAGACAAAAATCTACAAAACCCAAACACTGAGTGAGTAATCGTTACCAAAGAAGCCAAAATCAAGCTTCTCACTGGCATTCCTTAATTTAAATGTTTGCTCTAAAAAATATTAATTTTTCCCTCTAATATTTTTCGTTTACTCTGCCTTAAATATGGAGGCAACATGTCCTCCAAAACATTTGTATTATTCCAAAATATGGACGTATGTTTAAATACTTGCAAATTTCTGAAACTAAAAGTGGGATACTATCAATTTCTCAAGCTCAAACCAAATCACAATACTTTTTCTGACAAGAGCAAACCCGTATTCATGTTTGTCTTACTTCTCGTACATGCGAACGGAGTACAAGGGGGACGCCCATCAGGAAACGACTTTTATGAGCTCAAAACATTCCGACATCTACTTTAATCCAAGTTTCGCAACCTTCTTCACCCGCGACACACCATAAAATGGGGATACGAAAATACATGGCCTTGAATGTGTCCACATATAAATCCTTGCTCAAATTCAGGAATATGAAAATAGAACATAACTCATGTTGAACAAAATCGATGTGTGTGTTTTATGAAAACTAATTGCAAAAATAATATATTGCCTATAATTATAACTATAACGTGCCAAAATACAATGTCTTGTAAAAATTTGCGGCACACGGGTTCAGAAACACTGCTCTGGCTGTGGTTCCCAGTTGTGATATTCTACTCCTACACTGAAATATTGTGTCCTATATATGATCTGAAGCTTTCACGGCGACAACGTATAATGTTATCCTCTCGGGTTACCAGCCGTGTTTGGTTGTTTAATAGAGAAAACACTAACTTTTTCGAGAAGGTCGAAGAGTGTTCTCGAAACGTTGGTATTTTCTCCAATAAACCACCTGAAATGTCTGGTAACCCAAGAATAATTCATTATAAGTATACTACACTTTCCATAAAATGACGACTCACGGTCATTTACTGAACACAGACTTCTAGTTATGAGTTTATGCAAGACCCATATTCATCATCATCGTCGACATTTCCTGTCCAGGCCTGTTACGGGCATTACAAAACAGAAGCCTTTACATCCTTCCCACTCATTTTTACTTTCGGCTGATATTTTAAAATAGTTTTTGGGGTCCTGTCAGAGCTATGTGTAACCAAGAACTTTCGAGTTTCTTCTACTTGTATTAAAGCAAAGCAAACCTGTCCCACTATGCGCCATGTAGGCGCTTGGGTGGAGTGGCGGTACAGCTCCTACTCATTCTTGAACTCGGCACTAGATGGGGGTGAGTGGTCAGCATCACGCCCCGGCCGGATTTACCCCCCGAGAAAGGACCCCGGTACTCATTGGATAGGAGGCTGGGCGGGCCCCAGAGCGTCTGGACGCAGAACTTGTATTAATTCTGTTTGTAAAATTTGTAGTTGTGTCATAATTTCAGTTTTTCATATTGTCCACGCATCCCTATCGCAATATAATGCTGGTGCAACAAGTTGAATCTGATTTATAATCCATAGTATTTTGCCAAAATTTATAAGTTTCACAATCAAATCATTTTATCCTTTATAAGACATACTGTATTATCACAAAAAGTTGAAAATAAATTACTGCACTATTTTATTATGAATGTATACGTTCCTTTCATCTAGTTCTGTCCCTTCAAAATTATGAAAATCAATATACTAAATACTGGTACATACAAACCCAATAAAACATTAGGTTCTGACACTGACATTACAGTAAATGAATTTTATCTCAACAGATCTATAACCTAAAACCAAGTTATCAGCCATTTATTTTATCCATCAACTGATCTAATATTGGTAGTCAGATAATACTGAAGAACTTTGAACTGCATGAACATTCTGCACTTAATTCAACTGTTGTTCAAATATCAAAGTATAACTAACTAACTAGAAGGCTAAGGGAACCCGAAGGTTCATCACCGAACTAAGCAAAGCCCTTCACCGTCCCTGTCCTGGGCCAGCAAAATCTAATCCAATACACCAAAGTAATACAATAGAAATCAGAATACATACCAAGAAACTTTTAACAAATAAAGCAACATTATTTCTGTTTGGTTACATTAATTGGTACTCACTTTGTTTTGAATCATGTTGCCAAAATCATATGTTCATTTTGATGTTATTCGTCCAAAGTAACCTAAAACAATCAAACACGCAAGTACATAACACGATTGGCGCTGCTACTCTGCCTATCAGCCCACACAAGCAACGCATTGCTAATTCAGCGAAAGAGCGTTTACGATTTATACACAATGCAAGGAAGATAACAGAACACTACCTTATCTGTGACTGGAGCAGAACTACCAACTAGAATAAGCAGTGTTACCACCGTCAATATATAATTATATAGTGTGTTTACATTCCGCAATCAGTATGGCCTTGACGTTATCACTATGACTAGCACCGTACTGTGCATTACGTAAACTGCAGAACTATCATTAGATTATTGTTTTAAATTCACGAAAATATATATTGATTCAACTATTTCATATCCAAAATATTCTAAGTGCATTTTAGGCGCGTGCGCAAACCTGTGAAGCGCCTATTAAAATCGCTCAATTTGCTGTATGTATGCATGACTTTGACATGTTTTAGTGTGTAATAACAAAAAAATATGAGGCATTATACATGAAGTATACAATTACTGATGTAACTGTAACTTCATTACGATTTTGAAGAGCACTGATATTACCTTACCATTTTTAACGTTGTCTGCCGAACGCACGAACGCTGGAACAATCCGGCTCAGGACAGAGATCAAAGGTGTGTTCTTGTGAACAAAGTAACAAGCCTTCGAGATCCATTAGAAGTAGGGAATTTCTAGCTAAAAGTATATTCTGTTTCGTGGAATTTTAACTTTTCCCGGTTCGTCTTTGACAAAACGAAATGTTACGATTCCCAACTGTGTTCCGCTACCATTGCAGATTTGTTTCGCATTCGAGAGATCTGGATTCCTGTTCACGGTCCGAAATTGTTCGTGGTTTCCACTCATAAAGTTTGGAGAACTTGAACTGGTCAGGACCGGTTTTTTCCGCATCCTTACCATCCGACACTACCAAAGTTGAGAAAAAATCATTATAACAGCTCACCCAGTAAAAAGACTACCGATAATGGTTCCCGAAAAGGCAGGTTTTTTTCCCTTGGCCACAATATCCAGACCGACTCCCACATCAACCACAAAAAACACCGCGCATTCTTAATTTCAGCACTAATTGAGATTCGGTCTCTTATCTATTTAATCTAGAATATTATGACAACGCCCACAGAACACATTAGAGGTGCACTCACTACACGCTACTCTTAACTGCTTGATGTTTTCAGTCTGTGTGTAGTAGCGTAGAACTCTGACGTATCACACTTCCCACCAATAGCAGCCCTCTAGTCCACCTGATAGTAAACATTCCCCCTGCACCGACCAGAAACGACTTCCCTCAGCAAGGTTTTTCTCATGATCTGTGGACAGTACTGCGATGCAGGAACATTTGAGTGGGTAGAACGTGGTTATACAATACTGCTGCAGTATCACGTATGATTCAACAAACAAAATAAAAAAGTACTTCCTTTCCTGGAACTGCTCAGGGCTGTCCACTAAGCAGTAGGTATGACATGACATTTCAAACTGAGGATTTCCCTAATTGGCTAATTAATTGTGTGAGACTTTGAAGTTCTCTCGACGGTGATGTGTCCACTGTGGTGTGCAGTCTTGCAGATGGTTACCGACGGTCCAAATTCTACTCCGAATATGGAAGCAACAGGTTTCTCCGTATCGTTACTAACCTCAAACAAGTCCACACGATGTCTCTACCTAGAACTTGCTCTCTGACTGAAGAATTAACCAGTACATTTACTTGATAGTTTGAAATATAAATATGAAACAATAAGAAAAGTTACAAGTTGTACATGTAACCCATTTCTAAACAAGTTATAGCGTAAAGAATTCAGGTCTGATAAACTTTGGATAACGTGTGACCAGATAATCTTGAAGGTGACCGTGGCATTCGCGTGTAGAGAGTGAAGACGAAAGAAGCTAGTTAGGAAAGATAATAATAGGTCGAAATTCGAATCGGAGGCCTTACGTTAACAGACCAGTCACAGCTTTACAATTTGGATAGACCTGGTTAAAATCATCGCGTTAACACACTCCGCCGCGATAGTCGATAAAGAGACGAAGCCAATCTGCAGTGTACAAGCTAAGCAATTCATCGCTTTAGACTAGTATTTTATTAAATAGACTGTACCTCACATAAAAAAAAAATTAAAGTGAAAGTTACGGTTTTTAAAATCACTTGTCTTGTAACCTACCAAATGTTCCTTAGTGTGTCTTCTAAAATAAACTTAAAATATGGCGGAATTCTCGTTCTTAATTTCTTTCTACAAACTATCAGGTTCAAATTCTGACCGGGAGGAAAGAGCTACTGGTGAGACCATGGGATAGAAGGAAGGATAACATTAAAATGAAGCGATCCTCAAAACAGTGTGAGGATGTGGACTAGAGCCATCTGGCCTGGGGACCAACAGCGGGCTCTTGTGATTACAGCAATGAGCCTTCGGGATCAGAGGAATTTACTGACTGGCTCAGCAACTATCAGCTATTAAAGACGTTTAAATGTTATCTCCCAACTGTGTGAAGGTAGAAAAAGTTCAGGCCACTTCAAATAAATTTAAAAGGAAGTTTTGCTTTATCTTTAAATAGGCTGCCACCACTTCCTTTCAACCCGTTACCTACACCTCATTAGTCACGTCCCCACCAAATCAGATGCTAAGTAATCTCCGCAGTTAAACCAGCGCTGGTAAATATCAGTATCATAAAATGTCAGCAACGATGACTTTATTGCGGTCTGTTTCTAAAGACCCCTACGTTATTCAGCTTCCACTTCACAAGGAATTTATAATGCTGCAAACTCTTTTTTAAGTTCAAGCAGTCAAAAAGGGAATGTCGATTTGACCGGCTGCTAAAGTCTCTTGCAACACGAATACGTCGAGGCTCATGTATACATAACTACAGCAATACCATCAAGCGCAAATCAGCTATAATTAACAAAGGTAACATTGAAGCTCACGAAAAGATTACAAAGAACAATTTGTAAAATGTTAAGTGTGTTGATGCAAATGGCGTAGCTGTTCGTTGCATCTCGAACCCATCCTGAAATGAAGAAAAGGAAAAGGAAACATGAACACAGCATCTAATTAATGGTGAAAAGTTTTGTAGGATTTGAGGTATTCACGGCGGTGAGTCTGAAGATGGCTGTCTTCTGGGTTGTTAGAAGTTTACCAACGTTTCAGAGGTCCTTGCTCCTTGCCTCGCCCTGTCGATAAAGAGATCATTAACGAAGCCAACAAACCAGAAGACAGTCATCTTCAAGAAACATTATTGTTACTACTGCTGTCATTGTTTTGTTTTATAAATTATGCACTGATCTGGAAGCTTTTGAGCTGCGGATAAGGCAGCAACGCAATTCAGGACATCGCATTAGGAATTAAACACACTAGCATATTGTAATTCAGAATTAATTCCAGCTTATTTCCTTTCTTTGAGTCCAACCAAGCACGTGCCAGGTTGAGGTAACGTGTTGGCTGGATGGGCCTATAGCACACCTCAGGGGCGGTCGTAGATGAGTGTGTGTGTTTCTTATTCAGAAAGAACTACCAATTTCTTTAACAACACATGTGATCTGTCTTCAATGCATACATAATTAAATAAAGCGTAAAACATTTGTATCACGGAAAACAGAAAACTTAAAAACACTTTTACAAGTTACAAACTTCACAAGAGTATTGGAAAGAAATACTGCAAGAAGTTACATTTCTGAATTTCTAAAACTCCGGGCTGTTTAATGTTTAAACTGAGCAAGTTTACAAAAACTGACAGTCATATCATGTTCCTATAAGATAAGTTCTTATTCGTAACTCGAATTCCGCTGGGGCAAAACGAACATCATGAATAGCATTTTCCTGCATCTCTCTCTCAAAGGTAGAAACGGATTAATTAAAGAACGCAACCACTGGTATATTATAATGAATATCAGAAATTAGATTTTGATTAATTTGGTATGTTCCACTGAAAAAACACACACAAAGAATCGAAGGACACTTTAATAATACGTTTCGAATGCCACTGATTATTTCCAAACGATTTAAATTGTTATAATTTTCTAGTGCACAGCCGATGACTCTATCCAACAACACGACTGTTTTCAGTTTTTAGAAAGCCAATAAACTTCTTACTTCAAAGCATTTTACCACATCCCATCCCTTAAATAATTATGTTTGGAGCCCTCTGAAGTTTTAAAAGAAGTCTTTTACATAAACAGAATATCTAAATAAGGTTAGTTTCTGATCAGTTTCTAGCCTGAACTGCAGTACTTAATACAAAGTTTTTTCATGGAGATATGCAGATTGAACAACGGAGAAATACGTGTAGTATGATTCGAATTTCATAAAACAGTTCTACCAATCAAGCATTAAGCTTATTTAAGGTCTCTGATAAAAACTATAAATCCAGCACATATTCACAAAGAAGCTCAAGAAGAAACAGAAATGACGAAACATAATGCAATGAGCTTAAATTTAAAGTTGCTGCACGTGGCTGGGATAGTCGCCCCTCCAAATATCAAAGTCAGCTTCTTCAAGACAGCATTATACCAACTATATATTGCATGTTGTTATCTGGTATACATCCCTGTGTTATCGGGGCAGATCTTAGCTTTATACCATTTCTGGGGCGACATAGAAATCACCACTAATAACATATTCACATTATTGGGGGCATTCACGTGTTTTGTTGAAGCCACTTATGCGAGGTTTAACACACGTAATATCGCACAACTATTTGAGACGTTTCAGAACAAACTCGTGCCAAAAATGTCAACTGTTGGCTTGACAGAGAAGAAAGAAGAAATTTTTCATTCTGCGAGTAAAAAGGCGAGGCTAAACACCCTGATTGTGATGATAATTTTGGATTTGATGGTAGCTGCATGGGCGCCGGCGCCATTTATAAAACAGTTAATGGAAGAAAGTAAGAATGTGACAAACACTGAAACAGAAGCTGATCGCAAATGGCTTAATTTCTGTTACATTATTTGGTTCCCGATCGATATTACCGTTTCGCCGTACTTCGAGATAATGTATTTGATAGAGTGTATTGTTTTCATCATAGGAACAACCTATTTAAAGGCTGTTGAGATGACTATAGCCGCCATGATGGTGCATATATCGGCTCAGTTCGCGATCCTCTGCACTGCTTTGGAGGACGTGGATAAAATAACATCTGTTTCCGAGGAGAAGATGTACTCAGACACAAGAAAACTCTTTGGGCGAGAGACAACTTCCTTGGAAGGTACTGATGACCCTGAAGTCATAGTTTTGGGATCACAAGAATGGAAAGTTATCCAGACAAGAAGGGCTACTGACTGTAATACTGTCGACATGGACCTCCAGCATAACGAGAGGAAGAATGAGGATTTTCCAGAACTGACGTGTTATTTAGCAAACTTCGTCCAGTACCATCAAGCTGTAATCGAGTAAGTACAGGGCCGAACCACAGGTTGTAAACGTACTGTATGGGCATTTCTAGTTTCGTTCTTCATAATATCACTTATTTTCGCAAATAACCTTATCCATTAATAAAAACGGGTTACTCATAAGAATTTCCTTCTACAGGTTCGTTGCAGATGTGGACAAAGCTGTTGGTCCAATATTCCTTGTGTGTTTCTTCATTCGTCAATTTCTGGCATGTGTTATGTCATTCCAAGTGGCACTGGTATGTTGTCAGATTCACAAGTAGAAGTCGACAAAGATTCATAACACTATGTTGAAATAGCAACATCATTTCAGGATTGTTTCACTAGGACTACATACTTAAAATATTTATTTCCTTTTTGCAGACATGGGGTCAAGATAACAATATTTTGAAATTCATATTTGGTTTTCTTGGTTCTATGTGTTCTCCAGCTATATTCTGCTGGTATGGTACTGCCATCATACAAAGTGTGAGTAAAACAAACTTCAATATCTGCAGTCATTTGTGAATCAAATATATTGAAGAAATTGCAATCTCTAAGTTCTTATCCCAGGGCACAATTTGCCATGAATACATTCTTTTGTTAAACTAGCAATAATTAATTACAGTGTAGGACTGAATATCACACCATTTCCGAGTTCTGTAGGCTCTGGTATCGCTTCACACTGAAAGACATTCAGTGTGTCCACAAAGTCCCTTCAGGGTTTTGAAAAATTGTGGCGCGCAAACAAATTGAGCTAGCCACATGCGGTTTGCAGCAGATTACAGTGAAACTCTGGAAGTTTTTACTGACCTCAGTAGACCTCGATGTGGGCTCCCTTGGTAGCACGGAGAACGTCCAGATGATACTCGAGCTCTTGCCATGTTCTGTGGAGCATGTCCGCTGGAATAGCCGAGATCGCATTCCTGATACGGGTCTTCAGGTCTTCAAGTCCGTTAACCCCACAGGATTTAGTGTAATTTGATGTGAGATTTCAGGTCCTCACAGCGGTGAGTATGCAGATGACTTGTCTTCTGGGATGTTGCGATGTTTAGTCCTATAGAAATTGACCAAATGGATCAAAGATATATTTAACCAACCATCCCATCGTGTGTCACTACCATCTGTTAATGATTTAAAGTGTGCATTCGGCAAAAGCGACCGTTTGCACTTAATGTCCACTGCGCTGCCAATCAAGTTGAATGAAGTGAGGGATAATTTTCAACATTTCGTTGCGTTAAAATACTTTTTGGGAGAACTAAGATATAAGATATACACAGAGTGTTTAAAAGTTTGGGTAAAATGTATACCACATGTTCAGAGCTTTGAGAGGATGAAATAAGTTCCTATGAATGCTGACCCGCAATGACTAATGTGCAAACCTACAACACGCCAACAATGGTTTCTTTATGATGGAGCTACTCCACACATCTTTGCTGATGGCTGGACCTTCTTGGACACCAGTTTTTTGAACTGTGGATTGGTCGTGGTGGACTGCAAACATGGCCATATAGGTCACCTGACCCAAATCACACAATTTATATGTGGGGACATGTACAAACTACGATTTTCTAAGGCCAAGAAGCACAGATCAAGAAAGAAATTTGGAGGATTAAAAGCTCTTCTGTTGGTATTCGAGTGTTCAAAGAGTCTGCCAGTCAATAACCTGACATTCAGCATGCATCCCAGCAAACTGTGATCACACTGAACAGCAGCTATAGCTGTAAATTGTCATTGCTTTTATAAAATTATCCACAAACAATTTTGGTCATAACTCATTCAGAAGTTAATTTGTGGAACTACAATCCCAGGAACTTTTTCCATTGTCGCAAACCACTGAACATATCGATTACGTTCGATCCAACATTTTTAAAACATTCTGTATACGTACAGACCCACCCAGCTTCCTGTCCAATAGGTACCGGGTTCTTTCCCGGGGGTAGAGCGCGGCCTGGGCGTGCTGCTGACTAATCACCCCCTTCTAGTGCCGAGGTATTGTAATACTGTTTAATCAGAAGTGTTTGTATGTTCAAAACCAGCAAATGTATATGCAATTTCTATAGCACCAACACACGACTCCCACTTGTAATGCATTTATGAATCTTGTTTAAGAGTCTGGAACTACAGAGGGCAGCATATGAATGCAAGTGGTACCAGCATTCACAAATACTGAAACACTACATGCTGATGATTATTGTTCGTTCTCAGAAACCTGTACGTCTCTCAGCTTGTCAGTTCTATGTTATATCCTTACAGACATTTGGCAAGGTACAGTATGTTATGTTTGAATGTTACTATAAATGTTAACTGCTGTTCTACATTTCATAAGATATAAACATCTGGTAATGATCAGATTCTGTCAGCAACGGTCCAAAACATTCTCTGTAAATTCTGAAAAAACCATGAGACAGGCCAATTAAATGCTTAACGAGATGCTTTAACACCGCTACTTTTCCACTTTGTCATAGCATAGACCAGGGTTCGTAACCTTCCTATTACTGTGGGATGCACTGGCTATTTCATCTTTGTCAAGGCCGCAGAAATAATTTTTTTGTTAGCATTCAAACAATTTTGATTTCAGGGATTGTTAATGTTTTAAAACTTCAGACGTTAACAAAACGGTAACCAAATATATTTTTACGTCTTGCCACCAGACTGAAGGACAAATTATACAAAGACATATCATCATTTGATAAAGTGGCAAAGATTAAATATATATGAATGACAGTAACAAATCAAAATTGCATTCTAAAAAATTTACAGCAGATTAAATTCAGTGAATGCTTGCTAACATGCCGTTCCTGGACGCTATCTAAAACTGCGAGGATTAACATACAGAAAACTAAATTGTTTTATATGTGTGTGAAACTTGGTCCCTCACACTAACAGGTAAGGGAAGAACACAGATCGAGGGTGTTAGAGAACAGGGTGCTGAGGAGAGTATTTGGAATTACGAGGGATTGGAAAAGGCAACATAATGAATGTATGATTTGAGGTTTTCACAGCAGTGAGTATGACCTATGAAACGTTGGTAAACACCTACCATACTACACGGCGCGACAATGCAGAAGACAGAAATCTTCAACATAATAAACTTCATAATTCAGACTGTTCGCTAAATAATTTTGATTGGAAAGCCCGAACTAAAGAGGTCACTTAGAAAATGTATGCACAGGTGGATGTTAAAATAAATCTTAGGGAAATGGATTAATTTGGATCTGGATAGGGACTGATGGGGTCGCAAACCTTCAAGTTCCATAAAATTGAAAAGAATTTGACTGATCAGTAACCAACTTCTCAACATGGACCATGCCCCATGAGTTTTCATATAAGCAAACCTTTACCTGATATGGAAAAGTTTTTCATCCACGCACTACAACAAAATGTTTCATTACTTTTTCCATACACATATATTACAGTGACATGATGAATATTATGTTTCAGATGATAAATACAATATATGCCTACTTCACCCTTCTCAAGAACCAGTATGAGAACTGATCACAAACACACAACACTGCAGCGAAGAACACATGCATACTATTCGTACATGTAGTTACATTTACTTATGTTTGGGCTAAGGTAACTAATAGTTAACTTTAGTCTTCTGCAATGCCTATTAACTAATAGAACTAGTACAATCAATGATGATAAATTTATGCCAGTTGAATTGTTATGAACAGTAACAATCTCATTTTGTGTAACATCCTTTCACAAAATGTCCTCTGTTTATCTGAAACTTGAACTGAAAGAAGAATGTTATATGTGATAAAATACAACTTCATCTCTGAAACTGGAAGAATTTCAATTTAATATGGTATTGGGGGTCTGCACTAAAAGGGAAATATATAATTTTAGTTCTTATCAGGTTCCTTAGACACCATTTACAGCAGGGAAAATTTGTACAAATGTGAAGATAGCAATAAGATATAAAACCTTTTTTTGTCATGGGAAATAACTGACAACATAAAATATAATCTAACTCTAGGCAGTGTATACAGCTTTGCAGCAATAGACTAGAAATGGTAAAATCACAGGCGTTATTACTGATTCCTTTGTATTCTTGAAGAAAATGCAGTTATTTAAATAGTAGGCGAGATTTAAGGTTCTCACAGGAGCAAGTGGGTTTAGGACACTGCCACCGGGTATAAACCCATTTGCAGTCAATAATAAATAATAAAAGTATAAAGAGACTGACTGTCTTCTGGGTTATCATGTAGTCTGGTACAAGTTTATGTAGCACAACTCAGAAGACTGTTTAAATAATTAAAAGTTTTACTAAATTATAACAAGGTTATTATTTAATGTGTATGACTTTCAAGATTTAAATGTTATACTTCCTTTGAGTAACGTACAGTCTGCAAATACACCTCAGTTTGAATACAATTGCTAGACTGGTAAAGGATGAACATTAAATACACACACATATACAGGTGCATATAATCCCAATCAGCTGCAGTTCTGTGACATCGTAAGTTACTTCATCTTGTACTATGTACTCATCTTAAAGATACCTTCATTTGATTGAGTGGCAGAAGAAAATAAAATATGTATAGATTCTGGTGAATACAGAACTACTTTCTTATGATCATTGTATTAAACTTTTAATTTAAAGCTCACCATAACCTTTTCAGGTATAGGAATTCTCAGTGTATGAAACTATAGTTGTACACATTTCTATACACTTTTATGCAATAATAAAAACGGACTTGGAATTCATCTTTTTGATTTGAACACCTTACTAATATTTCACAAAGATCCTTATTGCTTGTAGTCTTTTGGGTTGTGACACTGTGTAGTCTTGCATGTAGCTACCAATACTTATGAATTACATACTATCTCCGTCTTCAGACTAACCAAGAACATTACGTGGTATCACAACCCAGGTGACAACAATCCACATTTCACCACTGTGAAAACCTCAAATCTCATATCCTTACTATGTAATTTCACTTCATCTTCCATGTAACAAGTAATGAACACTAAATGGCAAAGCAAAGTAGTGCAAGAAAAACCTGCAAATGAAACAATCCACAGACAAATTCTTGATTTAAGTGCTTGTTATACACTGTTGAATGGGAGGATTGTGATTAAAAAATTAGAAAAAAAACCAGTTGTAGATTATTTTAAGGTAATATCTCAACACTTGCATTGTTGGGTCTAAGCAAAGTCATGAAAAAAAATCACATGACAACAAATAACTAGGTTAAGTTTCAAACCTGGGATCTTATAAATACAAATTAGCACTAACCACTAGACTGCAACATTTCGGTCCCCACGAATAAAATCACATGTATGCTGTATGCCGAAGTCAAAACTTGTCATAGATATGTTTCTGTAAGAAAGTGAGTATGTTAATCACCAACCTAGAGAAATAAATGTGCGTTGTAAAACATTTAAAAGAGATGTATAATGAGCACTGTCGGTAAACTTTAGGCACTAACT